AGAAGCTTCTTTTTGCTGTAGATGAGTATTAATGCAGAGACCTACAAGTAGTTAACATGCAGGGAAGCAAATGGTGAGTTCAGCCCTAAAGGGTGTACCTGTATTATACCTTCTTCTCCTAAGGCTCAAGAATCATCATAAGAGCTAGATGAAGTGTATATTCGCAGTGAAATAATATTTTCTGAACATGACAGCTCTATCACATACATGAAATCACAGCCATTGTGACAGCACACATAAAATCCACCCAAGATGAAGCCAAACAAAATCCTAGCATGGAGTAGGGAGGTGGTCGGTAAACCATCATTAGCTCCCTTAGCAATTGATAGCCGCTGGGGAGATGGTGATTCTGTGTTCTTAGGGGATGTGGCCCCTGAGAGGCCACTCATGCTCCAGTAGATGAGCCTATATCCATGCACATACTGGCAACACTAAGCAGATTCAGTTGGCTAATAAAAAAATCACATGAAGTTAAGTGGGAATATTGGTGGGAGACTTTGAGGAAAAATCAAGAGAGGAAAGGAATAGGGTAGATTTGATGTTTTACTTTTAAAACATAAACATTAAATTTAAAAATAATTTGTTGAACAGAAAAGATTCAATTGACAGTAACAGCAGAATTAATTAACACTATTCTCATGATTTTCATCAATCACAGTCATACCCATAGACCAGTTACTCAAAAAGGTTTAACAGTCTAGTATAAATCACATTCTCACACAAAGGAGGTTGTAATTAGAATCTCCATGAATTAGCAAAAGTTCCAATTTAAAAAAGTAAACTATCCTCATTGTTCTAATTTGCCTTTCTGTTGTTATGATAAAATACTTTTACAAGGTGGAAAGGGTTTATTTGGTTTACATTTCCAGGTCATAGTCCATCATTGAGTTAAGTCAGGGCAGAAACTCTAACAAGAACTCAAGCAGAAACCATGGAAAAATGATGCTTACTGGTTTGTTTATCTGCTTACACTCAGATAGCTTTTTGTTACCTAGCCCAGAGGAATGTTAGCATTCACAGAGGGTTGGGTCCTCCTACATTAATTAGTAATCAAGACAATACCCCATATATACGCCCATAGGCCCGTCTGATCAAGCCAGTTCTTTAATGAATGTTCCATCTTCCTAGGCGACTCTAGGATGTGTTGATTTTACAATCAAAATTACCCTGGACAATCTATTCCTTATCAATTTGACACATGAGCATATTTCTGTTAAATCATAATATTTCCTCCCTTGTTTGTCTTCAAGATTCATGTTAATATCATAATACAAAATAGAGTACATTTTTAGGACTGGAGAGATGGCCCAGCCATTAAAGGCTAGGCTCACAACCAAAATACAGTACAATTCTAAAACTCCTCTAGTATTTAAAAAATTCCAATGCTTTAAAAGTTCAAGGCCTCCACTTTGGAAATACCCACAGAAACAGCTGGCCTGAGCAAGTGGGAGCTCAGAACCCAGACTGATAGCTGGGGAACCAGCATGAGACCGAACCAGGCCCCCTCAAAGTGGGTATCAAGTTGGGTGGCCTGGTCAGTCTATAGGGCTGATGGCAGTGGAACCAGTATTTATCCCTAGTGCATGAATGGGCTTTGGGAGCCCATTCCCTATGCAGGGATATTCTCTCAGCCTAGATACAGGGGAGGACCTTGGTCCTGCCCCAAATGATATGACAAACTTTGATGATCCCCCATGGGAGGCCTCACATTCCCTGAGGAGTGGATAAGGAGTGGGATGGGGAGATGGGGGGGGCAATGGAAGGACAGGAGGGAGAGGGAACTGGCATGGGTATGTAAAATAAGATTGTTTTAAAAATAAAAAAGTTCAAGGTCTCTATTCAGTGGGCTCTTGTAAAATTAGAAACAAGTCAAAAAACTTATTCCAAAAAGGAAGAACCAGAGCATCAGAGCAATCATACTTAAGCAAGACCAAAATCCACAGTGTAGCTCAATGTCTGACATCTGGAACTCACTCATGATCTGCTGGGCTTCAAAGGGTTTGGGTAAACCCACTTAAGATCTGCTATCTGTAGAACACACACACACACACACACACACACACACACACACACACACACAACCTTGTTTTGTAGACTTAGCCAGATTTGACACTTTCTACAGCACTTGGTGGACATTCCAGAACCCTGGAATCTCTAATATTCTGTGGTCTCCCCTGCATCTGAGACTTAACCCTCACCAGTAACCTCTCAGAGTTTTACTGGAGCAACTCCAAACCTACCAGAAGGCACCAAACCTTAGCTACTCTCCATGGCTCATTCATGCCTTCAAAGAAATACCATACAGATACTCTTACACCCTGACAAGTTCAACTGTCAGCTTGACATGCCAACTTGGCTCCCCTGAATCACAGCTTTTTTGTTCTGATTGTGAGAAAATACTTGCCAGAAGATTTCACTTCAATTGTACGGATCTCTTATAAATCACAACTGAGTCTTCAGCCCCAGCTGGCTCACACCCATTGTCTCAGTGAAACAGGTTTCACCTTAGCGAGACTGGTCTCTTGTTAATCACAACTGATTCTTCAGCCCATCTGACCAGCAATCACAGATTCTTAATCCGAAATATCACACAAATGGCCTCAATAGTATTTGCTTCCTTCTGAAACCTCACAATCCAAGTCTCTATGTCTGCATGTCTCTCAATATTCATATCTTTCAAGCCCCCCCAAAAAGAGAGCTCTGAGTACTTAATTTTTTTTCAGTTTAAAGTTCCCAAATTCTCCTCAGTCCTCCTACAAAATAGTCCAAAGGCACAAAAAGCCATATGGTCAGGTTCATAATGGCTACCAAACCACTCCTGATGCCAATATATGTTCTACTTTACTTTTCTGTTGCTGTAATAAAACTTGGACCAAAAACATCCTGTGGAGGAAAGGGTATATTCAGTTTACACTTCCAGGTCACAATCCACCATTGAGTAAAGTCAAGGCAGGAACTTAAACCTGCTGTGTGACATTTTCGTTTGTGAGCTAATTAAAATAAAGTTAATTTATTTGTTAAAATAAAGAGCTTATGATGGTTCAACAGTGCTTACACAGCATGTATTCTACCAGTATGTTTTTGTTGTTGTTGATGTTGTTGTTTTGTTTTTTGAGACAGGGTTTCTCTATGTAGTCCTGGCTGTCCTAGAAATCACTCTGTAGGTCACACTGGCCTTGAAGTCACAGAGATCATCCTGCATCTGCCTCCCAAGTGCTGGGATTAAAGGCGAGCACCACCACACCCCACTTGACCAGTATCTTGTGTCCAGAGCTGTATTAGAATATTTCACACACATGCTTCCAACATCAGAGTGTGTCTGGGAGAGTCCCAGGAAAATGTCTGGGAGAGTCGCAGGAAACACAGCTGCTGTCTGTACTCATTGAGTAGCAAAGCTGGCTAAATATCAGCAGATTAAGAGCTTAGGGCTGAGGAAACAGACAAGAGATGTTCACAGCCCAAAGTCAACTCAACAATTCTGGAGTCAACATCCAAAGTCACTCCAGTCCTTTCCCTCATTTGAGGACATACTAGAGAAATTTATCTGGTACTTCGTGGAATATAAACAATTTTTAGTGAAACTGGCTTTGAAAGATTAAAAGCACTTGTGTCATAGGAAAAATAGACATCAACAGCCAATCCTTGTTTTTTCTCACTCTCTGTAATTTGCAGTCAGAATATCGACAAGGCCCTTTGCAAAAAGTAAAAGCAGGAAAAAAATGGGGCGATCTACCCAACTGAATCCTGTCTGAAAGTAGTTCTTTGTTGCCTTTCTTCTCCAGGCTTTTGAACCTTAATGTTGTCATTTTGAAAGTGTCTAAGACATATAAACTTCTACCAACACATTATGGAAGTCAGCAGGACAGCCAACATTTATTTGGGTCAAGCCAACCTAGCCCCATCTCTAATCTTCTGGCAAATACAAAAAAATCCCCAGGAAACCTTGATCAAATATAAATATACCACAGCTCTTCGTTCAAGATGCTCACTTATCCAGACACATCATTATCCTAAACATGATTTCAAACTTGAGACTAACCAAGTGCTCTGATCCTTGAATAATGTCAAAATCACATCATTAAACTGAGCAGCACTCAGTTTTGCAATAGATTTTGGTGATTTAAAAGAATTCATGTAAGACACTGAAGCTTTCTGGGAAGAAAATAAGAGGACTTTTAGAAACCTGTAGCCATTCAGGAATGACAGATTTGTAATAATGAAGTTCAGAGAGAGAATCTCTTCTCTTCTGGCGCTACTCAGACTCAGTTACAAGGCAGAGTTCAGTGTGGGGAATTATAATCTTTGAACAAAGAAAACTGAGCAGGCATGATGGCACAGGCCTTGTCAGCTCTGTGAACTGGAGGTAGACACAGAAGGATTTCTAGTTCAAGGCCTTTGTAACAAGATCCTGTCTCAAAACCAAAACCCAAACAAAGGGAATAGGAGGGGATGGGAAGCAGAAGGGAGAGAACCCAGAAAAGGAGAAAATCAGGCTCATTAATGTGTCTCAGTGCAAATTAAGGTCCTGTTTTCCTTATGTGCAAAGCCCTGAGCCTCATCCCCAGCATCACATATACCAGGGATAGTGGGCATAAGCCTGTCATCCCAGTATTCAGGACACAGAGACTGGAGACGGGAAGGTCAGAAATTCAAGGGCATCCTTGAATACATAGGGAATCTGTGGCCATTTGAGGCCAGCCTGGGATTCGTGACACCAAGTCTCAAAAACAACCAATAAATAAGTAGGTAAATAAGCAATGAAACAAAAATAAATGCTGTGTTTACAAGACTCTGTGTGTTATAAGAGGGAACCCATGAGAGCAGAGGAGGAAGCTAGTTAAAAACTATATGCAAAAGCAGCTGTCAGACCTGTCTGACAAGTCCTTTAGTCATTTTCCCTTTCTTTAGCACTTTATTGGGAAACACCTTCTCCCAAGCACCTCCAGCTAAGAATGCTGCTTTCTACCTTGGATTAGTTTACCACAATGCTGCAAACTTACTGCTTTCTCTCACATGAAACAGGCCATCAGGGATTTAAAGGAATGTGGCTGAGTATCTGCCAGGCTCTTGCTTCACTCCTTGAACGATCAGAGTATCATTCATGGGAAATGCTTATCAGGACATTGGCAGGGTTTTGCAGCTTCTAGCTTCAGGCTGAAAATTACCAGCCAAATTCCAGACTACCAGTCGCCACCTAGAGGGGAAAAGCAACCTTTACACTAGAGTGTAGCCAGGATTTTTTAGAACCTATCTCCCAACCTTTCTAAAAACCCAAAGTGAAACTATTTGAATCCAAGTCCAATGAAATAGGATATATTACCCAATACCTTATGTGGGAAATGTGCCAAAGAAGGGAATATCACAAAGGCCACGATTCCTGGGAAGTCTTCATGGTGAGCACTCACTGTGCTGTGGCATCCTAAGGCAGGGCCACTGTCAGAGAGAAATAGGTACAAAGTCAAAAGTGAATGAAGTAATTTACAAATAAGTAACACAACTGTTTATCATGCTCACCATGGACAGCTTGTGAAGTTTACACAGTTATACCCACACATTGCCACTCTCCCAGCTTTGTGCCTGCTCAACTAACAATCCCAGGTATTGGTATGTAAAAAATACATACAGAGAGATTCTATATGGGGTTTCTATAGCTTTGGTAAGTGTCCTAGTTAGCTTTAACTATCAACTTATTATAACCTACGGCCATGTGAAGGGAAAGCATCAATTGAGGAGTTACCTAGATCATATTGACCTATGGGTATGACTTGGGTGATTAGTCTTGATTAGTAATTAATTTAGGAGGGACCAGCCCACTGCAGGCAGCAGCATCCCTAGGCAATAGGTCTTGGGTTATGTAACAAAGCTAGCTAAACATAAGCTTGTGAGTGAGCTAGCAAGCGGCATTCCTTTATGGCTTCTGCTTCAGACACTTGCCTTGGGATCCTGCCTTAATTTCTGTAAATAATAGATTGGGACCTGGAAGTAAGTCAAATAAATCCTCTCCTCCCCTAAGTTGCTTTCTGCCATAGTGTTTTATCACAGCAACAGAACGAACCCTGAGTGGTTAACTATCCCATCTCTTTAGGGAGTTCTGTTTTTCTTTTCCCCTGAAAGAATCTCCCTGTGTAACCCTGGTTAGCCTGGATTTACTATACAGCCCAGGCTGGCTTTGAGCTCACCATTGTCTTGCCTCACCCTCTTAATTATTGGAATTACAGACCAGAGCCATCGTGCCTGGCTCCTTTTTTTTTTCCTCAAAGAACGTTACCCTTTTAAAAAGAGTATTACTCTAGACTATTATAAGAATGAACACTTAGCATGGAAAGCTCTGTACAAGGCTTTTTAAAATATGTTTCTTCAAAATATACTATGTCAAAGGTCAGGAATAATGGTATACAGCTACATTAACTATTGTCAAATTGGTCTCCTGGAACACCAAGCCAAAGAATCAGGCCATCAGCAGAATTGCCATGCCTGATTCCTTTCCAGCCCCGTTCACACTGGATCATTATCATTTTAGGTACGATGCCTATGCTAGCATATTTTGGCACCCCGAAGCACCTTTAATTTGCATTTAATTTTATGTGCGCTGAAACTCTGCCAACCTGATATTCATATTCAACTGTCTATTCATTGTCTCCGGTGGAATTTTTCCTTGGCATCTCAGCCAAACAAGTGTACCCGAATTCCTAATTCCCATCCCCAAACCTGCCCTCTACTTCACACTAGCTAGCTCCTTCCCACCCAGTAATTATCATTTCCCTGAGTATAGGCACCTCCACCCAGGGGATCAGGCTGAAAATCTAGGAGTTACCCTCCCTTCCTCTCCATTCAGCCCCTTCACTTCCAATACATATTCCAACACCAATTCCCCACTGCTGTTACCTCCTAGGTCTAATCCCTCCTCACCCTAGCCCAAATCATTTTGGAAGCTTCCTAACCAGTCTTTCTTCTTCTATCCTTACCCTAGATAAGTACCAATTTGATTTAAAATCAAAACTTTTACATATTTTTTTGAGATGGGCATGCACACTGTAGCCCAGACTGGGCCTAAAATTCATGATGTAACCCAGGCTGGCCTCAAACTCACAGCAATCCTCCTGTTCACAGTAATGCCCCTTGAGTGCTGGGATTTCATATGTGCCACCATGCCTGACTCAAAACACCCTAAGCCTAATCATGTCAGATATCTATCTGCTCAAAATCCTCCAGTGGCTTTAAAGGAAATCTAAACTTCTTACCTTTGAAATATGGCCTCAGTCTGCTTCCTTCAATTCATGTCACCTCCTTGTCCCCTCCTGAATTTCCTCTTCATCTCAGTTCCATTGGCCCCTTTACTGGACACAAGTGCAGTAGGTATACTGCTTAAGGCTTTTGCACTGTATCTCTTCTTTAGAATACATTTTTCCCAACCAAGATGTCTTCCTGCCTGACTCCTTTGCTTTTTGGATTTGACTCAAATGTCTAATCCCTGACTCAGAGACTCTATCCCTTAACAGTCAAAAGAGCACTGTTATCACAACATCAATGCTACCCAACCATATTGTGTATTCAACAAGTCGAGTTTGTATCCCCTTTTCTCCCTTCCCCCCACTGTAAGTTTCATAAGAGCAAAAACTGCATGTCTGCTTCACCAGTATTGCCTCAAGAGCCTGGAACAGCTGGAAGACAGGAGAAAGTCAATAAGGCTAGAGGTAAATTGGCCTGACAACTCCTTTCCAGAGGTATTACTTCTGTATTTAGCATGCTGACACCAGGATTTCAAGGCCAACAGTGAGATAGTAATGCAGGCTAGCATGCTCTTTTAGACTAGAACTAGTAACACTAATGAACGCTGAGGGTAATTCAGGTATACCTACCAATCACCTATTCAGTTAGAGACATTGGGGGCTGTAGAGATGATTTATAATGAGTTCACCCTCAAAGAACTGAGTCTAAAAAGAAACAGATATTTGGACAAATGACTGGACTCTGATGGCAGAAAATGCCATAAGAGGACCAGAACACTTTGTGCCACAGATTAGCAATGATATTATTAACATTTGTTCATAGGAAATGACTGTTAGACTCAAGACTATGCTTTGTAGGTTTTAAATGTGCCACCATTGCTCCCTTCAAGAGCAATAGTATGTGCATAAGAACAATTTTAGTTGTCATAACAATTGCCATAGGGAAGAGCATCATCACTATTTGGTAAGCAGAGAGTCACTAATGCTAAATGCCCTGCAGTTCCTGGACAGACTTGCATAATACTGTCCAATGCCAATCCCCTGAATGTGGTTGTCAGTGAGGAGGCCTAGGCAATCTATGGGGCTTTGGGTAGTATATGCCCCTGGCGTACAAGTAGACTTTGGGTGCCCATCCCACAATGAGGGATGCTCTCTCTGCCTGGACTCTTGAAGGAAGGCCTAGACTCTGCCCTGGATGAAATGACAGATTCTGGATATCCACCATGGAGGACTTCATCCTCCCTGGGGATCGGAGTGGAGATTGGGTGGGGGACTGGGGGACCTGGTGGGGGGACAGGGGAGGAGGGGAGGGAGAGGGAGCTGGGATTGACATGTGAAGCAATCTTGTTTCTAACTTAAATTTTTAAAAAAGGAGAAAAAAGAAGTGGCATATACCTATCTGGAACATAGAGTGTTTTCAGGGCTAGGAAGATGGCTCAATGAGAAAGGTACACAAGTAGTGAGGATGTGAGTTCAGATCCCCATAATCCATGTACACCTGGACAAGTACTATGTGTCTGTAACCCCAGTGTTCCTATGGTGAGATGAGACATAAAGGCAAAAGACTGCTCAGAAGCTAAGGCCGGATACCTGAGGTTGTCTTCTGACTGTCACACATGTACTCTCCTGTCACACACATGAACAAACATACATCATACACATATACACACAAAAGATTTGGGTCTTTCAGAGATTTCTAGATTGATAATTTTAGCATGCTGTTCTTTAAAATAATTTTTGATTTTTTGAGGTTACAATATAATTACATCATCCCCTCTTCCCTTTCTTCCCCCGAACTAGTATGTTATTTTTAATTGTTTTTCTTCTGTTTTTACCCTGAACTGGTTTTTTTTAAGATTTTGACCCAGATCCTATATTCATTCAGTATGTAACAGAAAGAAAGCGGGAGTCTAAGAAAAGAACGGAGAATAAAGATTCAACAGAATGTGTCATAATCTAACGAGGCCTTCGGAAAAGCTGCCCATGGATGATGCTCGGTTCCCGATAGGCCACTCTTCCACAGTGCTATCTGCAGCATCCCTGCAAGCTACAATTATGTTCATTTCATATAGACGGTGCTGTGGGAGGCCGGCCGACAATTTCCTCATTACACGGTAAGGCAAGAAGATAATCTTGAATTGGAATCTTCCCAGGTAGGGCTTGTTTCCCTTTGGCAAAAGTCCAGGGACTACAGAGCCACCACGAATAAGGTACAGAGACTGGGCAGGAGAAACAGCACTCAGCTCCCCCAGCTACACGAGTCCATTCTGGAAAGCTCTGTCTTTTGTGGGTGAAACAACCCAGACCTTGTAGAATTTCAAAATAAGCTAAAGATCTTGGTTTTTACTGAGACCTTCAGCTTTTCAATGCTGACCCCCCTCCCAATTCATAGCATAGGCTGCTGGACATGGTAACTCAAACCTTTAATCCCCAAACTTAGAAGGCAGAGCCAAATGGAGCTCTGTGAGTTCAAGCCCAACCTGGTCTACATGTTAATGCTCTGTATCAAAAATAAAACAAAAATCAAGTAGTATGGGCTAAAGCCTACTTATTAAGGCCTGGGTTTAATGCAAGGCTCCTAGATTCCTCTTCCTGTAGACTAGACCCAAGAATCTGCTCAATTGTATATATTTGGTACTCCCAAAGGGTATTGGACTATCAAAAACAATAATTAAGTATACTCACACCTGAACAAGACCCTCAAAAAATGGAGGAGAGAGAGACACACACAGGCTCAGGGACCCAGGTAGGTCCCACCAGATAACTGGGTTTACTTTTGTCATATTCTTCCTTGCTCAGAGTCTCAACATGCCAGGATGAGGAGATTGCATAGTAAGTGGGTAAAACATTTGCCATGCAAAAGTGAGGACCTGAGTTCAGATCTCTAGAACCCACATAAAGCCAGGTGTGGCATCACATGTCAGTAATTCCCGTGTCCCTGAAGGGAGCTAATCCCTGGCAGTGCTCGGGTTAGCTAGCCTGGCATGCCCAGGATTGAACAACAAAAAGACTATCTCAAACAAGGTGGAGGTGAGCCCAGATAACTGTGGTTGTCTCCTGGACTCCACACATTTGCTGTGACATGTACCCATGTTCATGCACAAGATAAATAATTCCTCAGCATCCCCAATTACTGTATCAAATCACAAATTCTCCTCAAGACACTAAAAACAATACCCTCCCCACCTCGGCAGCCCTAACTTGTATGCTCATTTCCCTGCTCTAGTTGAGTCAGTCTTCACGAAACCTTTACTATGACAGAAAAAAAAACATTACTACTTCCAAGTAAAAGTAGCTCTGAGTTTAAATCCCACCTCTGTCATTGAATAGCTAGGGGATTTTCTTGGGTTTGCTACCTATGTGGAGTATCCCTTATCCAAAGAGTTTGAGATCGTGTCTATATATAAAGGAAACATCTTGAAGGTGAGACCCGAGTAGAAACATAGCTCATTCATGCTTCATGTGCATGTTTTATGCAAGCCTCAAGGTAATTTTACACAATATTTTGGATGTAGCTTCATTTTACAGCAGCTTATCACATGAGGGCATATGTGGACTTTTCCACTTGTGGCATCATGACCGTACTTATACTATATGATTTTTGAAGAGTCACATGAAATGATGCAAATCAATTACTTAACCCCAAGCAAGCACTCAATTAATAAGAGCCCTTGTTGTTATTATTATTATGGCTACTCAATTTTCACTCGCCTTCCTTCTTTATGTGCCCCAGTCCTTACACTGCCTCTTCTGAGAAATACCCTCTGGATTCCATGCGGTCCATGTTTGTGCCAACTGTGGCCCAGGTATTAGCCTGTCTCCATCTGCAACTGAGCTTAAAAGCTTCTTTAAAGGCCATGAGTATGTTGGAAGCACCAACAACTCGATAGACCTGAATGGACATTGAATCAGAATTCTTCAGTGCCTACCACCTCTAAAAGAAGTCAACAAAAACCCTTCTCTTTGCTACTGAGAGTTAACGGCTTGGGGGGGGGGGGAAAGAGTCAGCTTTCTTTAAGCGTCTACCATGCTCCAGTGGACGGTCCCAGTCATGAATATTTAGGTAGCACAGACTAGACTATATCAGTTATTTTTTATAAGAAGATAAGATATTGGGGGGAATCAGAAGATCTGGGGGGAAATATAATTAAAATGCTTTGTATGCACTATGAAATTCTCAAAGGATTAATAAAATATTTATTTTAAAGGATTATATAATTATAATTAAAGTAAGATTGTTTTCCATCCTAAAAAAAAAGTTCCTTTCTCTGGCAAAAGCAAGGGTGCATGCTGGGAAAACAAATGCATTGCTAATCTCAGCAGAAAGCTGCTTCAATTTCTCTCTCTCTCTCTCTCTCTCTCTCTCTCTCTCTCTCTCTCTCTCTCTCACACACACACACACACACACACACACCATTTTGTATTGCCTGATCTTCAAATCCACAGTCCCTAAGTCCCAAGCCTCACCACTTTTCTGATGCTGGAGATGACACCTGAAGCCAACAAAAGGCTACACTTTACCTGAATGTATGAGAGCAAAAATAGACAAATGGGCCACACTTCGGGTGTGACATTTGGCTAAGAATACATTGAAAACCTTGGGTTTAGCTACTGCAGAAGATACTCTCTGAATGCCCTACCGTCTCCCTGATGATTCCTCTCGAGTCAGCCCCATCCATCCTCTCATGTGTGTAGCAGCTGCCGTTCCCTGGGCACTGGTGCCTGGGGGGGGGGGGGTTATTCCACTGTTCTGTGTGCTTTACAAGAACTGAAGTAAAAAATACTTTCATGTAAGTTACTCCATCCTTCTAGTTACTCCATCCTTTTGAGAGAACACTCTCCACACACAGGAATAAAACAGAGCACAGAAAAAAAATGTGGCTACTGGAATCTTTAAAAAATGCTTACAATTTTTAAAAGAAACCGAATTTGAGAGCTCCCAACTACATCTTCACAAATGAAAAGTCATTCCTAACAATTATATTGCACAATCTTACACTCTTTCAGCAATATGAGATTACAAAGTCAGATCTGAGACAGGAAGAACACCAGGCAAAATGGGCACCATCTTAGAGACCCTGTGGCAAATAATAAGACCCGGGTGGCCCCAGTGCTGGATTCCAGGGTTCTAATCAACACAAGTCACCCAAATTAGTGGCATTCGAAAGTGCTCAGGTAATAATTGGCTTCAAGTCAAATCACAATAAGCAGGTGATAAATGTAAAGGCACCAGTCCCAATGGCCAACACAACACGCTCTGGGACAGCACCATTCACAGCATGAGTCTCCCTGAGCCTCTGCCCATCTATCTACCCAAGCTCAACACCGCACTCCAAAGGCTTGGAGGGTGACCCTGCTTTCTTGGTCAAATTAGAAGCAGTTTAATTCCACCCACACTAGGAACCTCAAGCTCAGATTCAAGCCCCCAGAGCTAAGGCCCTGGTGGTCATCAGAGGGCAGAGACGACGGTTAAGTGGATGAATGTTATGAGAACAGGTTGAGAAGCTGAGCCCTTGGCTTATGCATCCAGCAGGGAGGACATCCTTCAGCCTTTCCTAAGCAATCTAGTGCACCCTAAGGGAAAGCTTCCAGTGACCTCAGCTGCAGTATCGGCCACAGCGCCCCCTAGTGCGGCACCAATACCCGAGCGAGCAGCCTGAGGGACCCAAGGGGAAAGCCAAGGAACATCTCTAGAAAACCTGACTCCAGCTAGAGCAGGCCTGGCTACCCGGGTCCTCTAGAAAGCCCATCCCCAGTCCTCATTCAGGGTCCCGCGCGGCCCTGCTGCCAGGTGCCCCACGACTCTGACAGGCCAGGGTGGCCGGCCAACAGGGACGCAGAAGGACGCGGCCGCCTGGTCGATTAGCAGAGCTAGGTGCATTTACCGGGCGCCTCGGCAGCCACTGTACCTCCGCGCTTGGCTCCACTGGAATAGCGGAACCGCCACTGCTCCTGCAGCCACCTCCCTCCAGGCGCCGCAGTGTCAACCATCAACGCTCCTGGTCGCTGTCTGCGACTGCTGAGGGCGAGGCCAGCTGTTGAATGGCTCAGGTCGCGACACTGAGGCGTCCTCCCCGCTTTCGAGACAGAGACGCAGGCGCGCCTGCCTGTGCCAACGCCCGGTGGGCCCCTCGCTCCGCTGCAGGCCCCTTGAGCTTCCTGGTGGATGCTTCCTGGATTCTGACTGGGGGCTGCGGGGTGCGGACTCACACGCTTGCCAGCTCGCTCCCCTAGGTGGGCTCTTGCACGGAACCAATTGCCTCCCCTCGTGAGCTCCGCCCCCTTCGCTGCCATCCCTCAACTTGCCAGCAGAACCAATAGCAACCACCGACTAGACCCGCCCCTTGGATTTCCCCAAGGCCAATCGCCTTCTCCGGAGCAAATACTCACGTAACCCCCACCCCCACGCCCTGTGCAGCAAAGCTGAGGCCAAAGTTAATACCATAGCAAGGTTCTGACCAGCCCAAGGTTTTGTACAGGTTACTCACCCCCCAATTATGGGATTTAGAGACTGTAAACACTACCAGCAGCAGCACACCAGCAGCAGTACCAGCACCAGCACCATGTTATTTCTTTCAAAGAAATTAGTATAAGAAAGCTAGCCAAGACTGGGGAGATGCAAGAATGAGGACCCAGATAGATTCCTGGCACAGATGTAAAAGCTGGAATGTGGCAAAGTGAATCTATAATTCCATTGCTGGGGGAATAGGGATAGGACGGAAGGAGGAGATAGGTGACTTCCTGGACTTTGCTAGTCAGCCAGTGTAGCCAATTGGTGAATTTCAGGTTCAGTGAGAGACCCGGTTGTTGAATATTATTTTAAGATATGTTACATTTGCTTATGCTGTGAAACATTTGTTTAATGATGCAAAGATGTGTTGCATTCTTTTATGTTGCATTTGTTTAACTCTGTGAAGCTGTGTTACTATGCCTGTCTAAAACACCTGATTGGTCTAATAAAGAGCTGCAAGGCCAACAGTGAGGCAGGAGAAAAGATAGGTGGGGCTGGCAGGAAGAGAGGATAGACAGGAGGAGAGTGTGAAGATGGAGGACTTGGAGAGAAGGAGAGGAGGACTCCAGGAGCCAGCCACCAAGATACACAGCAAGCCACAGAGTAAGAAGTAAAGAGAGGTATACAGAAAGAAAGGCAAAAGTCCAGAGGCAAAAGACAAACAGGATAATTTGAGTTAAGAAGAGCTGGCATAAGCCCGGCGGTGGTGGCACACGCCTTTAATGCCAGCACTCCGGAGGCAGAGGCAGGCAGATCTCTGTGAGTTCGAGGCCGGGCTGGTCCGACAGCTTCCAAAACAATACAGAGAAACCCTGTGACATAAAAACCAAAAAAAAAAGAAGAAGAAGAAGAAGAAGAGCTGGCAAGAAAGAAGCCAAGCTATGGCCAGGTAATAAACAACTTCCATGTGTGATTATTTGGGAGCTGGGTGTCACCCCCCAGAAGAGTAAAGAGAAAAAACAGCAAACAACACACTGTCTCATAAAATAAGGTACAGAGCAATGGGAAAGACAGCTGACACTGGCCTCTGGCCTATACACACTTGCACGTATGTACACATTTTTTAAGAGAAAAAAAAACAGCCTGGAGAGAGTGTTCCCCCCCATCATAGCTGAGAACCAGCCACTCACTTGAACATACCTTACCCAGCAAAAAGTCAGCAAGGACCTGAAAGGACTTGCACTGACTGTGTTTATTTTTCTTGTTGTCCATTGTCCCAGTACAGGAACCCAGCCCTTATAAGCTGGGAAACTTCCAGGGACCAGTCACTAAGACTCTGTGGCTCGGTGATGGCTACTTGGGCCTCTGACAGTCTGGCTTGAGGAGAAACAAGGCCAGCTTTGCCTATCTTTCTCTATGGTGATCTAACAATCTCAAGACTATTTTCCTGGCCCACTGTTCCAGGCTCTGTTGTTCAAAGACACAAATTAAGGGTCTTCTCTGAATGCAAGCCAATTGCTATAAATCTTTGGAAAGTAGGCACCACGAACTGGTTTGCCCTCCCTCATTAGCTCCAGGCATGGAGAAGGCCAGGGTGGTCACAACCCTTACCAAGAGAACGTTTCTTCAAGTTCTCCAAATTGGCATTCACTTTCTTGAATGACAAGTCACAAAGCTGACATTTATTAGATTTATTGTCAACTCTTTCCCTGGGGGAAGTTTTCACAGCAGCAGCTGTCATGGGGCTGTTTTCTGCCTGATTGCCTGGTGTGTGTGTGTGTGTGTGTGTGTGTGTGTGTGTGTGTGTGTGTAGGGGGGTAACGTTAATTTCACTCTCATCTGTCAAGACCCCTGCTGCTCATTCTGTCCTAAATAAATCTTCACCTCTGCTTGATATTCCGACTCTCATCCTCTTTACACAATTACCACAGAGCTCCTGAACTGGCCAACTTGCCTCTAAACTTGTATGCTCCTGACTAGGAAGGCTCCCAACACCCCTTTCCTTGTCCATTTCACAGCAGAAGCCACAATTCTAAAATATCACTGCATCCCAACTTAAAAGACTACCATAGCTGCTAATGTTTTTCCACTCCCCTCTTGCCCCCACTGTTCTTAGAATAAGGTCCTAACCCACTGCACTGCATGTAAAAGCCTGGTAATCTGGCTTCACATGCCCAATTTCATTCCTACCTATTCCATTGCCATCTCAGAACACTCTATACTTTAACTAAACCAAATTTCCTGTTGTTTCCCAGTGAGCTACATAATCTATCATGCATTTTATACAAAGTCTAGACTAACTTGATCCCTATCCCCCTCTGCCTAACCTATAACTCACAGATGTGTCTTTTTATTCACTGTTCGAATATGCCATGTGTACTCACCATGTGTCAAATACTCAGGGGTATAAAATGTGTAAGATTAAAATAACATATAGGATTTAGAGTTGAATATGCCCCATGTCTTAGGCATGTAGTACATTTTGTGCATTGCTTTTCTTGTAAGATACAAATACAGCCGGGCGGTGGTGGCACATGCCTTTAATCCCAGCACTCGGGAGGCAGAGGCAGGCAGATCTCTGTCAGTTCGAGGCCGGGCTGGACCGATAACCTCCAAAACAATACAGAGAAACCCTGTCTCGTAAAAAAAAAGATACAAATACAGATTGTAAGAGTAGATGCCTCCACTAGAAGCCCCTGAGTAGAGTGTAAGTAAAAACCCTGCTTCCTTAGCACTGACAAACAGACATCACGGCTCCTAATTAGTTTTGGCTGTTGGGGGCTGGAAATTCAACTGAGGACTTCACACATGCCAGCCAATCACCCAACTACACACACACACACACACACACACACACACACACACACACACACAGAGAGAGAGAGAGAGAGAGAGAGAGAGAGAGAGAGAGAAAGAGAGAGAGAGACAGAGACAGAGAGAGACAGAGACAGAGAGACAGAGAGAGACAGAGACAGAGACAGAGAGACAGAGAGAGACAGAGACAGAGACAGACAGACAGGCAGGCAGGCAGGCAGAGTTCATTTGGACTTCAGATATGACCAAATGAATAAAAAGTTGGAGAAAATAAAATGGTTTTTCTTTCTCCCTTGCTGAGTACCACTGAATGGTATTTAAATTCATTTCACTAAGTTTGGCAATTTGAAGGCTAGGGATTATGGCCATTTTTTTCTTATGCAGTTTAAACTTTAAAATTCAACTTATTAAAATGTTGTGTGTTGCTTTTTATCTCTTTATGTGTATCATATCAAATAAGAAATTGATAACATGCTGTAGCAAATACATGAATGGAAGTGTATCTTGTCAAAATGAACCAACTGCAACCTTGAAATTACAGAGCTTTGGTATCAAATAAGATTTTAAAATTAATTTCATCAAAACTCAGATGCTTAAACTACCACTATGTGGTAGATTTTCACGTTCCTTACAAAGTTCTTAGTTCTTTGGCCTCTAAAAAGCATACCTTATTGTTATTGTTAAAACAACTGGAGTTGCTGGGCAGTGGTGGCACATGTCTTTAATCCCAGCACTTGGGAGGCAGAGGCAGGCAGATCTCTGTGAGTTCGAGGCCAGCCTGGTCGACAGACAACCTCCAAAGCAACACAGAGAAACCCTGTGTCGAAAAACCAAAATAAAAAAATAGAGTCTAAACATCTGGAATAATTTGTGGGTTACCCCAGATGTTCCTCTGTCCATTCTTTTCTTCTCCATAGTTTGGAATGTCTTTTTTCCATATTCAAATCCCACTTAGAAGAATCACATTGTAACATTAGCTAATTATTAACATTTGCATAAGGAAAGGTACATGGCTTTATGAGAAAAAATTAAAGATGCTTGTACTGAATAGGCAGCTTTCAAATGTTTTTTCACTTCTTTTAGCATATTTTATCTACACAATAAGCTATGTAAATACCTTGCTTTTCATTTTACAGGGGGAAGCTACCATTATTTAGATTATTGGAACTATTGTTCTGCTATTAACCTTGGGAAGTGTGACCATGGCATTCTAGGATTCAGTGTCTCTTAAAGGATCTTTTCAGGTTGCATATGTTCCACTCCCTCCTGTCTCCTGAGATAGAGACACTGGGACATGGGGGTGATTAGACATTTTAATGGGGACAGGAAGTCATTCTGGTACCAGCATTACTTCTAGACAGGACAGGTGCTGGTAGAATGCTAAAAAAGACATCACATAAGCAGTGAAAAGCAGTAAAGAACATAAGAATCTCAGACAAGAAGCTCTGAACTCAAAATTCAGCTGTCCCACTTCAAATCTGATCCCAAAACTACAACTTGTTTGCTTTACTGACCTAAGAGTCTTCTAGGAAAACTTTGATTCAAGAGTGCTTTGGAAAACTATTTGATCATCTTCAGACAAGGGTAATCAAAACAAATTATATCTAGCTATCTAATGAGTATCCCCTACTTATTTTGTGTAGCAATGAGAACAGATAAGAAATCAAATACTCAATAAAATACTAGCAAATGAGATTCAAGAACACATCAGAAAAATCATCCACCATGATCAAGTAGGCTTCATCCCAGGAATGTAGGGATGGTTCAACATTAGAAAATCTATCAATGTAATCCACCATATTAACAATCTGCGAAAGAAAAACCACATGATCATCTCACTAGATGCTGAAAAAGCCTTTGACAAAATCCAGCACCCCTTCATGATAAAGGTCCTAGAGAGATCAGGGATAACAGGAACATACCTGAACATAATAAAAGCAATATACAGTAAACCAACAGCTAACATCAAACTAAATGGAGAGAAACTCAAAGCAATTCCTCTAAAATAAGGAA